CACATTTTTGGGGGAAAAAAACCCCAAGGATCAGTTTTACCCCGAGGTGATGGAGCGAGGCGTGAGCCCGTCTGAGACCCCGCCGTGGTGACCCTGGAGTGACTCCCGCGTTCTTTGCCGGGGTTTGGCACACCTGGCGGGTTGCCTTGCGAGTGCCCCCGCCGGGAAGACGGATGGCGATGCTGCGGCAGCACCGTTGGCGGATTTCATCAGATCGCTCTTCGGTGCAGGATGACAAATCTGATGCCAGCTGGGCTGGGCTGCAATCCTTCTTCCCCGCCGGCCGCTCGCGCGGGTGGAGCGGGGTCTGCACGGACGTGCTCTGAGCATCCGTATCGGTCCTCGCGATGCCCTTCCTGGCCTCGTCTGAGCAGTTCTTGCATTTCATGTGAATTTTCTTCGATTCTGGGTGCTGTCCTGGACAGCAGTGGGGCTTTTCAGAGCTCGGGTAAATATCCTGCTGGTTTAAACCTGGCAATTGTAGGGCACACGGAGGCTGTCAGCTACGCTTGGCCCTGCACAGCCTTTGGGGCCTCAGCACTGCGTTTAAATAGTGTTTCGTTGAAGCCGGTGGTAAAGGGATGGACCAACAACTATGCGACATTAATAGAAAGTTGTTTCTATTCCGTAGCCCTTCCCTATGTAGAGCAGCACTGTACATTACCTTTCCCTGTAGCGATGTTCTGGGTTATCTTTTCATTCGTTTGAGGTCTCGTTCTTATTTCTGTAGTGCCCGGTCCCAACGTGAGGTTAGTTTGGTCCCATTGCTCCCAAAATCTTTGGGCTATTGCAGCAGATGCTCCTCACTGAGTTTCTTCTTAAGACTCTTTTTCTAGTCTTCCTTCAAATACAAGGTTTTCTTAGTCACTACAGATTTCAGTTGTGTCCCTTACATTACCAAAACGACAACTAAAGCAAATAATAGTTCCCATCTAAAATGGTTAATGATGTAAGAAAAACAGATGTTTAAAGAGCGAGCTGTATTTAAGCAATCCCAGCTATTTTTGTGACATGACCGCTTTCAGAAGATCTCCGTCTCCTTATGTTTATCTCAATCTTCATGCAGAAGGTGCCGTAGTTACCTTCCTTGGCCCGTTTTCTCCACTGTCCCTGAGAACCCCAACCCAGGAGCGCTGGCCGGAGGCTGGGAAGGAGCCTCAGCCCAAAGCGCCCGTGCGCGCGCTCCCGCCTGCGCTGGCTTTCCCACGGGCTTTTGCAATCTGCAGCTTCGGAACCATCCCGGGCTGCCCTTCGGTAGCCACCGATGGATGTTCTCCATGAATATGTCCAGTTCTTTCTAAATCGATTTATATGTTTGGTCTTCGCATACCTCAAAGCAACGAGTTTCCCCATCTGATTGGACACTGCTGGAAAAAAAAAAACACCTTTTTTTGTTTGTTTGTTTGTTTTTTGTTCATTTTAATGTGTGGCTTTCAGTTTTTATCCAGGGAGAGCAACAAACAGCAGTGCAGAGCTCGCCTTCCCCACGCTAAAAACCTCTACTGTGTTGCTCTTCAAGCACGGAAAGTCCCTCTTGTCTGCAAAAGGGAACTTTGCACTCTGCTGCCCATCCTTGAGGCTCTCCCTGTATGTTTTCCAGGCCTGCCGCATTAATTTCTTCTTCAAAGTCTTCCAGGGAAAGTTTAATATTCAGTATAGCTGAAGAATTCCTTTGTTCTTAGCGGTAACTAATAGAAGACGTGGCCCAGCTCAGAACATTCAGGTTTCAAAGAGCACGTGAAGCGAGACTGCGGTCCCTGCCTTCGCTTCTCCCGCAGGACCGGTATAGCTCATCTCATTAGGAGAAACCAGCCTTCAGACAGACAAATGGAGGGCTTAATTTTAGAATAATGCAGTTAGAGTCACTTAGAAAAAGGAAAAAAACAACGCATGATTTACATTTCGATTCACAGTTCGCTTTAGAGCGAAGTAACTGAATTTCTGGACATCTGCCTGGTATTATTGAAGTCGCAAACCTTTAGGTTGTGATTTAGAACATTAAATTACTCTGAGAAGTTGGATCTCTGGCTGACACTGCCTGTTCTAGCTGTCTTCGCGTTTCTTCATGTGTCTATCTTTATACATCTTGCTGCCCAATTTCAAACCGAGCTGCCATTGGCAGATGAGCACGTTTGCAAGTATACAATAATAAAAGTTTAACTAAGAAAAGGGAGGAAAAAAATGGAGCAAGCAACGGCGCGCTTGCCAACCGCGTTCTACGAGTTGGTCTGACGGCATCTGGGACGTGGAGTCCTGGAGGAGAAACTATTTCAGGTTAAATGTGAAGATGCTGCATGTTGTTAAATTTGATAACACGCGTGTTGCGTGCGAGAAATAGAAGGAAAAGGCTGCTCTGTGCCATTCCTTACGTTTTCCTGACTAGACCCTGCTGAAGCTGCTGGATATTTTGGGCTTGGGCAGGATGGGCCATCAATAACTGGTACCTCTGAGAGCGGAGGCGTCTGCTAAGCGGGGAATGAAAGGGGCAAGGGATGGAGGCCAGGAAAAGCATAACACTGGGGTGAAACTTGGAGGAGGCTTCTTAATGTTATTTTTTAACGATTAAAAAAAGTGCCTGTGCTTGCACTTTGGGGTACAAAGGTGCGCAATTTGGTCCCAGAGTCCTTTTCCCACGGGACATCCCCAGCTCAGAGAAGGGGCTGAAGTCCTCTGGGCCGCGGGATCCCGTGGCCTCGTGGTGCGGAGCCTACCGAGGGGTTTTGGGGGGACGCGGGGGGACTGAAACCCTTCAAACCCCTCTGGATTCCGGGATCCTCTCCTGCCTGAGCCCTCGCATTCCAGACATTAATGCAGGCGCTCTGGGGTGGTTACTGACTGCTGGTCTCTCGCTTTCTGGCCACCAGACCCGGGCTCCTTGGGGATGAAAGCGGGAGTATTGATCACGGGCAGCAGCGAGGCAAAGCTGCGCTTTTAGTTTATAAATGCACATACAGATGCTGAAACCGGTGGGATGTTTCGCCCTATTTTTCCTTTTCTTTAATTTCTCCCGTAACGGAGAGGTTTCAATCCTGTCACCTGAGCGTGAGAAACTGGTGGCCTGCTACACCATGATTTTTCTCGCCCTAAATTTCTTCTATAAAAGGTGCAAACCCATCGCCTGAGAGATGGGGGAAAAACCATTTCGTTAAGGGCTCGGGAAATATTTGTGCAAGCGAAGTCAGAAGGAACGCTTTGGAAGAGCCCGTATGGAATTTAATAACGTCTTTTAAAACACGCATCGAAAAGTACGCAAAGGGCCGGGGTGACAAAGTGAACGAGGAGAAAACAAAATACCAGGTAGCTGTTTATTAAGGGCGCCGTGTCCTTCCCTCGCAGCGAGGGCAAGAGCCTGCAATTAGCGCCCGGTCCCAGCGCGGGCGCAGGGCGAGCAGCTCCGACCCTCCCACCTCCGCTCAGTTTGTCTTTGCCACCTTTATAATCTTCCTCTGCGGTAGTTTTATACATTTTATACATGAAATATTGCCCTTATGCGTAAGTTTTTGAAGAAGAAAACCTTCATTCGAATGGATTTGCCCATCCTAGAGCGCAAACTCAGCGCCTGAGGATGGGCACCGGGTCTGGGCTTGGGCTCGCCGCGGGCTTGCTAGCTGTGCGCTTGTCTGTTTTCTGTGTCTTTGAGCATCTTCCACTATCAGAAGCCTTTCATTTAAAAAAAGTAAAGCCGTATGGCCAAGCACTATCAAATACGCCATATATTTTTTTAAAAAACAGCACGTCGAGTTTATCTTTTATCTGCAAAAATGGAGCGTGAATGTGTTTGATGTCTACCTTAGCAAACAAATTAATGGTAATTAAAGATTAATTTTACGTAATCAGCATTAAAATGCAATTAAATTATGAGGAAGTGGACGAGGAATAGAAGTCTACGATGTCTTACTGTCTGTTTTTACACCGAGTCTTTTGTTTTTCAGCAAACAGAGGAAGTGGGGCAGCAGGCAGCTCGCAGACTGGTGATGCGCTGGGGAAAGCACTTGCCTCTGTAAGGAAATATTTACTTTGGAATACACGTTTACCGTTTTGAAAGTGTGAACTTTAATGAGAATTGGACGCCTGGAGTTTATGAAGACGAGCAGCAAACGGGAGAGATGTGGTCTCAGAGGTCACCCGCGTGGAGTTACTGCCATCTGAAATATTGACCAATCGGTGCAAAATGGTGTTTAAAAAGTTCTAGACTTCATTTTACGGTAGAATAGAAATAGAAAGAGGGGAAGGCTTGACCCGGTCCCGTTGGCTGGGTGCCGAGGAGCCGTGTCTGTCAGTCTATCACACACCGCCTTTCCGAGGGCGAGGGGGGTCCGAACAGAACCCAGCGGCCGGCTGACTTCTGCGCTAGCGAGCCATCCGCAAACAGATTCCTTTTGAATTTGCCTTTAGATTTTCTATTTTTCATGGCAGTTTCCACCTATTCAGTTACCGTGGTTGCTGTTAAAGTCAGCGGTTGCCACCTCTTACCTGGGTAGCTGGGGTACGGCGCTTTTCCAGCTCCAAGCGGGAGAAACCCTGCCGTGCCCCCGCTATCGCTGCCGTACCAGTTGGCACGGGCTGACTTTTAACAAGGACCACTATAGTTATTTTCTGGGCAGAGTGGGTTCCATTGAGTTCTCATGAGAGTTAATTTTTTTTTTTTGTTTTTTGCATATTCTTCCATGCCTCATTGAAAAAAAAACCCAACAAAACAACAAAAAAAAACCAAAACAAAAAAAAATGCAAAGTCAGACTCTAGTTTGCCTGAAATAACTGATACAGTACAGAATCCACTTTGAAGTGGTGCCCTGACAAATGGCACGGGTGGCGAGCGGGGACGCCGTGGGGCGGTGGCACCCTCGCCCCGGCACGGGGCACGCGGGGGCTTTCTTGCCACAGCAGCGGACGAGTAGTTGGAGTTTGCCGCTGCGGATTACCCGCTGTGCCAGGGTTTAACGTGCTCTGCTCCCTTTGCTTTATTTTTGGCCGTTTAAGGGATTTCAGCGGAACAAAAAAGCAATTTTCAGGCGTGCTTTAAGGCCTCGTTCAATGACACTCATTCGTAAGGTCGTCTATGCAATGGAAATGTGTATATCTACCGTAGCAGGTCCGTGTGACAATCGGAAACCATCGCTTAACTGGCTAGTGTCTGTTCCCATCAAAAGGGGTCTGTTGTCTAGCTTCCTGCATCTAATACAGTTTTGCCTTGATAAAAATATTAATATTTGAATAAGAGGCTTTTTAACCTGTCCTGCTTTCATTTAAATGAACTGAATGCATAAGAATTCCATATTTCTTTCTGCATCAGTTTGTGATGGCTTTAGATTAATTCTGTATCATCTTTTAAAGATCTATTCTCCAGATCACACCAACAACAGCTTTTCATCAAATCCTTCAACTCCTGTTGGTTCTCCCCCTTCTCTCTCAGGTATTGTTGTTACAATTCTATTTTACTGAACGTTGCAACATATTTTTGGTAGGAGATGCCTAAATGGGCTCCGGCGGTACCGGGTGTGAGGTGTGCATCCAGGCGGCTCCCGCGGTGCCGTGGTGGTCCCGCAGAGACCAGCAGAGAGCTGTCCCACACGCTGCTTTTCCAGTGCAGAGAGAAGGTCGTTGCAGCTCTCGGGCGGATGCGTTGGCAGAAAAGCAGTGAGGGTTCCCGCAGCCTTCTTGCGGCTTCCCGCAGCGCCCGCGGGGTCTCGCGGCGGACGGTTTCTGCCCGGTGCGGAGCGTGTCCCCGTGCCCTGGCCGTGTCCCCACGCAGGGACACCCAAGCCCTCGTGGCAGCCACGCTCCAGGGTTGGCCGTGCCAGGTACATGTCCTTTGGATGTTCCCCCCATCCCCTCCCGGGGCTGAAGCCAAAAGCCTGTTTGATCCGTCAAGCGTGTCTCCGGACAAACGGAGCCCCCGTGAATCCAGTTGAATCCATTTTATACTTTGTTTACAATAACCGCATATTTTAACTAGACCCACTTTACTAATAAAAGCCTAAACTCAAAAGATCCAGAGGCCCAGGGTAGTTCTCATGAGCATCGGGGGTTTTAAATGCTTACCTGAATATAGTTCAGATCTCTTAAACCTTGAGACTTTCCAGGTGGAGCGTTAGGAGCACACGCCAATGCCTTGGAGAAGGCCTCTTGGCTTCCCGTCCCCTCTTTGAGAGGAGGTCTATATGGCAAGGAACCCAAGACCCCCGCTCGCCTCTTCTTTCTGCGTGGATCCCGTTAACCTCCCCGGGGATCCCAAAAGGCCGAGTTGCTGTAGGGCGACGCTGGCGAGGTGGGCTCCATCCATCCCTTATTCTCCACGGGGCGGGAGTAGCACGACAGAGGTGGAGGCAGCTCCAGGGCTCGTGGTCCTTTAAAGCGGTGACCCAGACCTGGGAGCAGCTCGACAGGGCCCAGACCCTTTTGGAAGGAGGGGAGGAGAGACGCTTGCGGTAGCTGGCAGCCTCCACAGGACGAGGCCCAGGAGGACACCACGTCCACCTCCATCACTGCTGTGAAGGAGCGCGCGACATCGGGGTGACAGCCAGTCTACAAACGTCCCCGCAAAGCCACCCCTAGCAGGGGATGGGGGACAGAGAGGTGAGCCTGTCGCAGCTTTGGGAGGGGGTCTCACACCTCAGAAAAGGACTTTCTGCCCTTCTTTTGCCCGGACTCCCCCCGAGGTGTAGCACCCCCGGCACTGGGGCCGCCCTGCTCCTAGCGAGGCGCTGCCCTCCTTCCCGACGGAAGGGGCCGACGTATGGGAAAATCCCATACTAACGCGGGCTGCGTTGCTCTCCGCAGGCTCCACCCGGTAAATAGGGAGAACCGAGTGTCAAAATAAATAAAAATAAGGAGTATAAGTGCATTTAAATAAGTGCTGAAAGTGTTTAGCATGCAAAACGCTTCCCCTCAAGGACATCGAGGGCTAGTTAAAAAATGATTTCGAAAGTAAAGATTGCTGCTCCTTGCCGGAGCAAAACCTCAACTAAAAGCTCCCCGGGGACCAGAAGAGGGAAGATTTAAGTTTTAATTAGAACTGACAGAATTTTGACTTTTGTGAGAGAGAAAAAAAAAAAAAGTCTTAACTGTGAGAGCTTAAAAAAACCCCCCATGAGTTCCACCCTGGCCTGTCTCGCTCCCAGCAAATGCCGCTCAGTGTAGACAGCGCGATTAAAATCCTAATATTTCCATCTCAAATCCTTAACCCCGTTTTCTGAGATCGTGCGACAAGATCACTCATTCAAAAGAACATTATAAATTGTCTAAGCGTTGGGATATATATATAGATATATATATATATATTAAATCTTCAAAAAGGGCAAATTTTTCCTTAGAAATTGCTGCCGGAGAGCAGGAGCCCTTTTCTTCCCGCAGCAGCAGGAACAGATTTAGAGCAGCGGATACAAACCAGAAGGTTTTTCGGTCAGACCTTCGGCGGTCTTCGCGGGCCAAACCAAATAATCTGCCCAAAGAGAGCGCAAACCTTATCGAGCGTATACGGGAATGTTGTGTGCAGTGCTTTTACTGACTTTTTTTTTTTTTTTTTTTAAAGACAAAATTTACGAAAGTAAATTTTATGGGGGATGGGGAGGAGGATGACGTAACCGGTGGCACCGCCTGTGTCTGGAAGGCAGGTTAGGAGAATGGGCTGGTGTGTGCTGGGCTCGCGCCCGGCTCCAGCCGCCCCGCAGCGCCCTGCGGCAGCGCTGCTGCTCCTTCCACCGCCGAGACGTCCCCTTCTCCCGGAGCCTCTGGCAGCTCCAGCTGCCCGAGGAATGAATGCAGCCCTCTATGCCGAGGAGCAGCCTGGGGGAACTTTGTGGCCTGCATCTACGTGCTTTGCTACAAAATACCTTTTTTTTTTTTTTTTCATCCGTGTGTATTTTGGAAGTTCTCCATATGTCTGCTCTATAGTCTATCTGGAATACGGCATTTACATGTCTACAAAACTGTCCAAAAAGTTTGAAAGACATTTTTGTTTGCATAGTTCTAATGGTAATTCCAATTTTACTATTAGCAGGCACAGCTGTTTGGTCTAGAAATGGAGGTCAAGCGTCATCATCTCCCAATTATGAAGGTCCCTTACACTCTTTGGTATGTTTTGATTAGTGACCTCCTCTGCCTCAGTATTTTACTTGCTGTTCTTTCCATTTCTCATCCATTCTTCTCACACAGGTTTTCATTTCGTTAGTGACCGCTATGCCCTCGGACTTGATTTTACCACCTCTAAATTGGTATCGTGGGTGCCCCGTGCTCGAGATCGGTGGTGCGGTTGGAGATGCTGCTGGCCGGGGTCTCCTCTTTGGCAGGGGATGCCATGTTGGAATCTACTGGAAAGGGGAGCGAGGACCACGATAAGAGGGGGGGAGGATGAGCAGGCAGGAGAAATAGATGGAAAAGGGGAGTCGGAAGGCACGGTGGCTGTCACGCCAGGCGGCGCGTCCGTCGGCCCCGTGGAGCGAGGGAGGGAGGGAGGAAGGAAAGGGAGTGCAGCCGGGGCGGCGGTGATGGTCAGGGGTCCTCTCCCCAGAAAAAGCCAGCGGGGCGAACCGGTCCTAAACGCTCACGTGGCAGAGAGGGTTAAAGGGATGTCGGGAAGAATCGTTACCTTTCCTAATGGAAAGATTCAGTAAGAGTTGGAGCTGGCCGAAAGCACGGGGAGGCAGAGAAGAACCGTAGAGAATCCAGTGTGTCCTCTGTCTCGCTCTTCAGGAAGCCTGGGGGGGTTTCATTAATCCGGGTGAAACGCCTGACGTAGTGTCGGGTGGGAAATAACCAGGGCGAGAACTTAAAAGTTGCCTTAAAAAAGAAGCGATGGGGCGATTGGCGAGGGCGCAGTGCTCAGCCCCCCTAGTACGGGGCGATGCAGCCCTCCTCTTGGCTTCCTTAGAAGTTTGCCAGAGTCGGGAATTAGCGCGGACTGTTTTACCCCCGCCCCGCTACGGAAATCCCTCTCGCCATTGACTGCGGTATTTTCTAGGCTCTCTCTCTCATCTGGAGGTTTTTTAGCCATTTTGTTTTGTGGAGAGCGCTGGGGTCGGTTAAGAGATTTGCTGGAGAGATCCATGAGCTCTCCCGGATTATTTTTGCAGCCGAGGTTCCCCGGTGTGCGGGGGCCGTCCCGTTGAGCTCCCCCGTTTCATATTTTATTAAAAAGCAAAGGTTTCAGGTGCGCTGGGGGTAGCCAAGGCCGGCGCTGAGGCTCGGGGGAGGCAGAGCAGGGGCTG